AAAAAACAAAATTTTCCGCTTACTTTCACAAGTTTCCAAATCATAGGAATGGGATCATTAAAAAACTGGCAAAATTTCCATTTTATGTATTTAGTAGAAACTTTATATTATGTTTTTTTTTTTAAATTCATGATTGCACATTGACGGTTAAGAAAAATATTCCAAAAAACCGTTTCCATTCAATTTTATCGATCGGAAATAATATGAAAGCCTACAAGCATTTTGTTTTTCATTTTGGAATTCTACTAAAAATTCGTTTCTCTACCCATTGGGATTAAAACATGGATTTACCTATAGAATTTCATGGAGATTATGGTAAAAATATTCAAACATCCAATCTACTTTTCTTTTCAATTATGTCCCAAGTAACAATTCAAGCTGAACAGTAAGAACAGAAGCTGATTATTGGTTGATTTAAGGTGTACACATCTGATTAACAGCAAGCTGAATATATAGTTGAGTAGTAGTGCATGAAGCTTATTGTATCCTCATAATTCAAGCTCGATAAGTTAGCTAATCTAAAGATTGAACAAGCCTTATTTTAGCTAAACACTAATCCACAAATCAGCAATAGCATAGAATAGCATAGCATAACATAGCATAAACCAGCTTGCACAATGTCGTAGGTGGTACGAGCTCCAAACTGTCGTTAAGAAGGAGATCCACTTTCATCCGTTGCTGTTAGATAGTAATTTGTGATTAATTACTACCCCTTAGATAAAGCATGTGTCTCCCTCCAACAGACCAGAGCTGTCCTGGCCACGTCCTTGCATCTGGTGGGGCAAGGGAAGGAATGTTAGTCCAACACTTACTTAAGAGAGGTGCAGAGAACTCTACGACCCCTCATAAGTGTCACGGGAAGGGTGGATTTTTGTTAGTAGGGAGGGTAAGCCATAGGATACGCCCAGCCGGCGTTGCTGGCAATCGTTATATCAAGCATTTAATAAATAGAAGTAAATAGTTTATCTGTCCGTTGATGCTGCCCATTACCTAAACATATTATTCAAAATAGTCTTCAGATTTTGGAATTAAGAAACGTTATCAGCTCGATCATGTTGCTGATCCTGTTGGTAAAATTTAAAAAATCTGTGAAAAATTCAAAGTTGAGAAAATGTGTTACGAAAATTCACAGACTTACTTCTGTTAACCCCGTTTAACGATGAAAAATAAAATTTGTCGATTTTATCGAATCTTTACGAATAACGATCATTTGAATTTTAATCGAGTTTCTCAGTAATTCTAAAACCCAGTAAAAAAAATACTGCCTCCTGTAAAAAATTCTAAGTGTGTAGGTATGTGGAATCGTAGATTAGAATGAAGATTCGCCCTTGGCCTAACTCCCATTGTCGTGGCAGCGGTATTATGGATAAAATCTGCCTGCAATCATTTCTTTTGAACGCAAAGAAGCTTGAACCCGGGAGTTAGAAGGTGACAGCTCTACCGCTACAATAGCCCATTTCAACAACTCAAGCACTCCGAAGCTATTTTCACACATGAGAAGCCCCGCTCCAATACATTTTCGATGCAAATATACACCATTTATAATGTACTGAAACTTTCAATCAAGCAGTAGTACAATACTTGATTGACACGTATTTAGTAAGTTTTCAAATAATCGTCTTGAATTAGATGGATATTTCCAATCGAGGACAGAGGAACGAAAAGGTAAATAAACTTAGCTGAGCGTAGGTTAGAACAGTCGGCACCACATGCAACAGATAGGAATTTGAAAATCTTCACTCAATGCACTTTTCAACATCACTTCTGTACTTTCAAATTAACACTTTTTAAAAATTAAAGTGTAAATTTATATCATTTTTACTAGAACGAAAACGACGCAGCAAAAAAACACGTCATTTTCGCAGCGCGGCCTACTTCGATCCACTACTCCACAAATCAGCAATGCACTAAAAATATGTTGATAGCCTAATCGGTTAAATGTACACACTAACTTATTTTTACCGAACTCAGTAAAGTTTTTGACGAGATTAGAACAGCTGAGCGCTCGGCGATCATTTCGGTAATTTCAACAGATGCTGAACAATCGGTAGTCAAGACACTTTTGCGAGCTGTCAAATATAACCGAAAGCATTGCTTTTGCGTGACAACAACTCAGTAATTTTTTGAAAAACTTTCGGCAAAAATATAGATCATGACACTCTTGAGAGCTGTAAAATCTCAACGAATAGACTGTATTAGCGTGAAGACTATGCAGTACATTTTTGCAAATCGTTCAGCAAAAATATATAAATTGTATGGGTCGATAGCTGAGTAGCCCAGTATTTTTTTATTATTATTTTTTTTTCGGCTGTCCTCCACCCAATTTTATTGAATTTATAATTATGATGAATGCCAACTAAAAACTATTCATCTACACATTATTAGTTCAATTGGCAGGAAAACAACCAAGAAATCGCTCTAGGTGGACTTCACCACCCTCCACATTATTTGGGGGATTCCTATATAGACATAAGGATAGACGTGAGTTTCTTTTATAGAAAGGTTACATAAACTGGTTCGTTTCTCTATGGCTTAAAGAAAAATGTGCTGCAAAAAATTATATAAATGTTATTGATATTCCGCGAAAATAATCATTCAGCTGCAGAACTTTATGCATACGTTTAACATCCGCAAACAGATCCATGTTCCTGACCGAATTGAAGAACTGTTGCGCCTCATCGTTGTTTATATCAACGCCCTTTGATGCCAGGAAAATAACAGCCTTCTTTTCCAAGTATTCTGCTATTTGCCAAACAACATTTTTGCCAATTTTGATAGTTTCCAAAAACTTGGTTTGCGGAAGCCCAACGTCACCAGCTAAGCGACAAATGCTCAACGAAGCTATTTTTTTAATTTCATCGAGAGAAAGCATTTCCTCGGACGGTTGTGCTTCACCCCGGTGCTACTTTCATGTTGATAGATCTCCTCAAGAAGAGGAGGTTCCCGCAGTTCCTTAAATTTTGGGGAAGAAGTTTCCGACAGCAACGGATGCTTCTCCTTAATGTGCCGCTTGAGCGATTTTTGGTTTGTATATCGCATATGACACCTTTGGAAGGTGCAATCATAAAAAATGGCATCCTTTTGAAAGTCCCCGTTTTGTATGTGCCAAGATAAGTGGTGTCCTAAGTCTTCCAAGTATCCGGGAACCGATCGCCAGCAGGAAAAACAGATTATGCAGTCGTCTACCATCGCAGTATTCTACGGAGAAATCATAATTAAAGTAAATTTACTTACTAAGAATTTACTTCGCTCCTAGATCGCTTCGATCCGCTAGAAAATTCCGTCCATATTCCCTTTTTTTAGACAAAGATCAGTGAAAACTTTTAGGAAAACAAAAACAGTTCAATGTTCACTGCGTACGACAAAATTAGCTATTCAAAATGGCTCGCTATTGAAGTTTTTGGCAGATGTTCTACTTGAAATCAAAAATAAAAGTTTGCTCAGTAAATTTAAACAAATGTTCGGTGATGAAGTGATGAGCATTCAGTAAAAGTAGCATGATAACCGAGAGGTCAGTAAGAGTTTTTACTGAAATAATTGACCACAGGAGAGAATTTAAGCCTACAGAACATATCAGTAATGAAAATAGCAAATCACAGTAAATGATTTTAGAAAATACTGGTCTTCAGTTACTCACGTTACTGTTTTCGGTATAAACATGGTAAAATAGCCGAATGTGTAGCAATTTAATAGTTTCGCCGAGTATAGTCCGCTAATAAAAGTACCGAACATCGAGAATGCAATTAAGTGTGTCACTCGTTGCATTTCCGGCATTTTAGTTCTTCTAAATTCACTGCCTACCTTTCTAATCCCAAGCATCGGCAGCAGTAGGTAGAGGAGCTTTTAAGGAATAGTTCCAGGTAGAAGTGGGCTGTGACGACATCGGAATTATTCACATTTGTATTTCTGTGTTTTGACTGCTATTTCGAACTGAATTTTAACACAGCATTCCAAAAGTATTATGGCACTTAGATAGCTTTCACATGACCATCGAAATAAATCGCGCATTTGTGTCCACATTGTGTTAACTACACTTGAAAATGAGAGGAATGTTTTACGGTCATCAATTGTTGTTTACAATACTGCATTGCTGTATAATTCTGTTCCGGTTGCTGTTATTCAAATTAAATTTGACGTGTTTAAAGTTAATGATCATACCTTTTACCACACATATGCTTAAGTGGTCCAGTAGGTATGATTGATGCCTGTGACTCAACGACTGCCGGTTCGAATCCCGAAATGAAAAGGTGATTTTTAGACTTATAATAACAATTTAATATGTAAATCCAATTAATCAGCATCTTGTTGCAGTCTCATAAAAATATATAAGATATGAAGCGGTCTTCCTTTTTTTTTCTAAATAAAACTAGAAGGCTGAACAAGGGTTGGAAATGACTGTTATTTAATGCCTTATTTTGCCTGCTTTTTAAGCTCATACTTTATATAACTGTTAAGCTTCCAGCTGATTTAAATCATCAGATTTAGATGTTTAAAAGCTGAACAAAGGTTATCGTGGTCTATGTACAACAATTATTCAAATCGATTAAACAACACTTGTTAAGCATCAAATTGTTACCTGGGGTCCGCTTTCTGCCGACTGTGTAACATTGATACAGTCATTGAAGAATTTAATTGATCAGCAGGATTAAAATGTTATGAACAACATGGCAAATGTGATCTTTATCATAAGTTTTTCTCTTAAGGCAAACAATTCATTTGAGCCTAATCCTAAACAATTTGTAACATAAAACCGAGACTAATTATCAGCGATTGTTAACATAAAACAATGATTTTTTTTTTGTTTTCTTGCAAAAAATCTAGTAAATTCCATGTCTTAATTAATTTGTTTTTATGACTTTTGGAAAATTATTGTTCTGTTAAAATACTGTCCATTATGTCCATGGAAACCGACCCTTATAAGCTGACCTTTTATCGTGAGCTCATAACTAAACTAATATCTCCAAATCCTGAACAATACAATACAACACATCAACGAATCGATCATCGTTCTTTCGAAATCATTTATTATAATCTCAAATCCTTCCATGGTTGTACTATTGCATTACCTACACATCCATCGGTAGGAAATCTTTACAGCTTAGTCACCGTTGGCCGATATCCGCGTTCGTCAGCAGTGTAGTCCACCCGGTAGCGCTGCCCGGTGGGATCGGTGAATTCATACGATCCCGTGACGGAAATTGCAGGCGCTTCAGCGCCTTCCACCGGTTTCAGCACTCCCGTTTCCTCACGCTTCTGGCCATCGGATTGTTCGTATCTAAAACCAAAAAGACAACATTTATAACTGTTATCGAACTCATCGCACAAGTAGATACTTACGCAAAGTTGTAGCTTCCGTCAGGGTTGTTGTCATTCGTAAACTGCACAATCTGAACTTCGTCCTGAGCCGTTGTGAGATTGGCGACGAGGAATACGAAGGTGCATACGAACTGAAAAAAAAACAAACAATTTTTTATGAAATTATTATTTTTTCTTTATCTACATCTTCATGTGGGTGAACGTTGGCCCAATTTGGATTTTTCATATACAATCCTAAAAATTACCTAGATTATTTAATAGTGTAGTCCACGCTCATACGAGCGTGGTTGGTTGATATGGTTGATTTGATTCAATAATTTTAATAATAATAGTAATACAATATAAGCATTTCCATTATAATGACAACAGCATGAATTTCAAAACAATATAAAAATTTGGAAGCTAATTTGATCTACTCTCTATTACCAATGGTTCATCTTCTACTCGCTCGGTCGACATCGCGTACGATCTTACGAAAAACATTGACTGGCGAAAATTCGCGACCGCGGTTCTTGATGCCAGTCAATCGGTTGACGTACTTCCTCCGCTGGACGAGTACTCCTTTCTCGCGCGTGTCATCATCGATTCTGCGCTGCAAGCACAGACGAAACGTGTTCCGGGTGTTTCCGTCCGCAAGCGACCTCCCACCCCGTGGTGGGATAAGGATTGCACCGACGCGAACAGCGAGAAGTCCGCCGCGTTTAAACGCTTCCGCAAACACGGCAAGGTCGGGGATTTCGAGCGGTACACCGACCTCGAGAAAACTTTTAAGGACTTAATTAAAGCAAAAAAACGCGGTTACTGGCGTCGGTTCGTCGATGGTTTGTCGCGAGAGACTTCCATGAGAACACTCTGGAATGTCGGCAGGAGAATGCGAAACGCGTCTACACCGATTAACGAAGACAAGGAGTACTCGGACAAATGGATTTTCAGCTTCACGCGGAAAGTTTGCCCGGATTCGGTGTCGGTTCAAACCAGCGTTCGTGATCGTCCGTCGGGTAGTAACGAAATATATTCCCCGTTTTCGATGGTGGAATTCTCACTTGCTCTCCTTTCATGTAACAATTCAGCTCCAGGAATGGATCGAATCAAGTTCAACTTGCTTAAAAATCTCCCAGATGTCGCGAAGAGACGCTTGTTGAACTTATTCAATCAATTTCTGGAGCACAACATTGTTCCGGATGACTGGAGACAAGTAAGAGTTATCGCCATTCGAAAACCCGGTAAACCCGCGTCGGATTATAACTCGTACCGTCCCATCGCGATGCTGTCCTGTATACGGAAATTGTTGGAGAAAATGATTCTTTTTCGTCTAGACAAATGGGTCGAGTCGAATGGTTTACTTTCAGATACGCAATTTGGATTTCGGAGAGGCAAAGGAACGAGCGACTGTCTTGCGTTGCTTTCAACTGAAATTCAACTGGCCTATGCGCAAAAACAGCAAATGGGTTCAGTTTTCTTGGACATTAAGGGGGCTTTTGATTCTGTTTGTATCGATGTCCTTTCGGATAAACTCCACGATAGTGGGCTTTCACCAATTATGAACAACTATTTGAGCAACTTGTTGTCTGAGAAATATATGAGCTTTTCTCATGGAAACTCGACAACTTCACGAATTAGTTACATGGGTCTCCCCCAGGGTTCATGTTTAAGCCCCCTTCTTTATATTTTTTATGTAAAAGACATTGATGGTTGTCTTGATGAAAATTGCTCGCTAAGGCAGCTTGCAGATGACGGCGTTGTATCCGTTATAGGGCCAAGTGCACCGGACCTGCAAGGACCATTGCAAGATACCTTAGACAATTTGTCTACTTGGGCTATGAAGCTGGGTATCGAATTCTCTCCGGAGAAAACTGAGTTGGTTGTTTTTTCTAGGAAGCATCATCCTGCACAGTTTCAGCTTCAACTTATGGGTAGAACAATCACTCAAAGTATATCTTTCAAGTATTTAGGTATCTGGTTCGATTCCAAAAGCACGTGGGGAAAACATATTGCGTATGTGAAACAAAAATGCCAACAAAGAATCAATTTTCTTCGTACAATTACTGGAACTTGGTGGGGAGCACACCCGGAAGATCTGATCAGGTTGTATCGAACAACCATCTTGTCGGTTCTAGAGTACGGTAGCTTCTCTTTTCAATCCGCGGCGAAAACACATATCCTGAAGCTGCAACGGGTTCAATACCGTTGCCTCCGAATCGCGCTTGGCTGTATGCACTCGACGCATACGATGAGCCTCGAAGTACTTGCGGGTGTTCTCCCACTGACAGATCGTTTCGCGGAACTGTCCTTCCGGTTTCTTATTCGTTGTGAAGTAATGAACCCATTGGTAATAGAAAATTTTGAGAAGCTGCTCGACAGAAATCCTCAAACAAGATTCATGAGTCTCTATTACGAGTACATGACGCTGGAGATTGGCCCTTCTTCATTCAATTCCTCTCGTGTTTGCCTCCAAGACTTTTATAGTTCCTCTGTAAATTTTGATCTGACCATGTTGCAAGAAATCCGTGGAATACCAGATCACCATCGGTCGATGGTTGTTCCCTTAATTTTTGCAAACAAGTACCACCATGTTAGTAACAATAAAAGTTTTTTCACAGATGGGTCAACTATAAACGCTTCCACTGGATTTGGAGTATTCAACGAATTTCATAGCGCCTCATATCAACTGCAAAAACCCTGTTCCGTATACGTTGCGGAACTAGCAGCCATATTTTACGCAGTAGAGCAAATTGCCTCACTACCATCTGATCACTATTTTATTTTTACTGATAGCCTTAGCTCGTTGGAGGCTATTCGATCAATGAGGCCGATGAAGCACTCCTCGTATTTCCTGACCGAAATCCGAGCTAAATTGAGTACTTTATCTAACTGCTCCTATACTATCACCTTAGTTTGGGTCCCATCTCATTGCTCAATTCCGGGCAATGAGAAAGCGGACTCGCTAGCTAAGGTGGGCGCTATGGAAGGCGATATTTTTGATCGACAAATCGCCTTTGCGAAATTTTTCTCAATTACCCGTCAGCACGTCCTCACCAACTGGCAACAAAAATGGAATGAGAGTGATCTGGGAAGATGGTTACATTATATTCTCCCACAGGTATCGAACAAGCCATGGTTCAAAGGATTGGACATGAGCCGTGACTTTATACGTGTCATATCAAGGCTCATGTCCAATCACTACTCGTTAGACTCGCATTTCTTCCGAATCGGGCTCGCAGGCAGCAATTTGTGCGCTTGTGGTAGTGGCTATCACGATATCGACCACGTACTTTGGTCATGTACCCTCCATTGTGTTGCTAGATCCGAGTTATCCGCATCCCTCAGGGCCCGAGGAAAACAACCCATGCGGCCCGTTAGAGACATCTTGGCGAGCCGAGATCTCGACTATTGCAATTTAATATATGTGTTTTTAAAACGGATAGATCTGAGGATTTAGTAGTTATTGTCATCTTGTGTTCCCCCAAGCTGTTAGCTGCCCATCGGTGTACCCCCATGTTTGTCTTTTTCATCAGTTGGTCGCTTAGTTCGAGATCAAGAGCACATTGCTCTCCAAACCTTGTGTTCTCAATCCCTACCCTGCCATCCATTTGTTACAATTTGTTACCCCTAACCTCGAGATAGCCGCGAGTAATCGGCCCCCGCTTTACTAACGTTAGTCTTAAGAAATTTTGTAACCTAAACAATGAATATCGGCTCCGCAAAGCTACGGCAAATGAGCCTGGAAAAATAAACACATTAAAAAAAAAAAAAATTTGATCTACTCGATCTGCTTTAAACTTGCGTGGAATCAAGTCAGCGTGTAGTATGATGTAAATAAACGCGCACTCTCACACACACATGCTTCCTTGAACGAGAGAGCAGCATTGTCAGTATTCCAGATCTATCTGGATTTTCCTTTTTTTTATCTTCTTGGCAGATACACAGACAGACCACGCATATTTCCAGATTTTTTAAATATGTTCCAAATTTTCCCAGATTTTTTTAAATATGTTATTTTAAAAATATCACTGCAATTCATTTACCCTCTAATCAAAAAATAGAAAGCCAAACTTGCTACATTAATTATTAAAGGCAATCAACGTTGGACATTATTCTCAGCAGCGTTTCATCCATCTTTGTGGGCTTCGTGGTCGTGCGGCATCACCCGTCGTTCAGGCGTATTGTGAGTGTCACGAAGTGAGGGTTCGATTCTCGCTCCAGCCAGTGCAAATTTGAGCAACCTGAAAATTTCCCTACTGGTCTACTGACGTGGTGTGTTGTCCGTTGTTTAGTCTTAAATATTCAGTCTTTTCAACCTCTGGTTGAGGAGTGTTCACTCGGCTGTCGACAGAAGAAGACCACTATCAATGTGTGTCACGCGATCGTCTGTTTACTCGGCAGCAACCATTGTGTCACAGAACAGAAGGGGAAGTGCAAACAAATCGGTGAATCAAAAAGTGCTCGTTTTTCTGCTCAACGAGCGATGTGATGTGGTAGCGTTCCACATGGGCTTTCTATGTGCACTCACACTATCATAGCATGCTGCCTATCTTAACTGCAGGCCGAAGATGCCTTCTACCGCTAGGTGCGCTAGTGTTCGCAAATGACCAGTGGAGCCACTTTCTGATTCGAAGTTCCACTCCTGTGATTGTGTGGTTGGTCGGTTCTTTCGGTCGATGCGTCGTCGACTTTGCAAAGCAACCGTTTCGTGATGAATGTGTGAGTGCTGACCACGTTTTGCGTCCATTGCTACAATGGAAGCGCTTTGACCCTCGTTGGAGAATCTGCCATAGAAGTAAACCACTGGAAGCGGCTCCCGTTTTGGAAGAGGAGGCTTATTGGATAGCGGAAGATAAAATGTTTATTGTGTTGTACCTTTTGACTATAGTTTTAAGATGTATTGTATAGTGAACAAGAATCCTCGCCTCTGTAAAGTTAATTCGGTTGAGTCTTATCAAATAAATTAATAATAATAGAACCTCTGGTTGAAGACGATGACAATTGCATGGAGATTTTGTGAATAAAGGAAATACAATCCGGAAGAGAAATCAAAGAAAATTCTTATGATGAAACTTAAGGAGTATGCTGATACGAATCGTAAGAATAATTTCAATGGAACTCTGTTCAATGTTTCTATGGAGATTCATTT